GGCATAGAGGAGAAGTCCAAAGGAGTTCAGTTGGGTGGGGAAAAGAAGAGAGGGGTCTGAGCTTCCTCACTCAGGGGATCTGGGCTTGGCCATTCAGGGAATCTCAGCTGATTCAATCAGGGGCTATGAGCTAGGTCACTCAGGGGCTCTGAACTGAATCAGGGCCAGAGCATCTGTGTATAGTCACTTAGTGGAGAGGACTCAGTTTCTATAGCATCCTTGCTAAATAATAAAAAACCCCTTAGACTCTGTGGAAAGTCCATAAATTCCACAGGTGGCCCACCTTAATCACACCAAACAGTGGGAGGCCTTGGGTCTCTATCTCCTGTGGGCAGATGGATTACACCCACTCTACTAGCTGAGTTTGCAGAATCAGGGCCCAACTGAAGAAGTCGTTAATGAAGTGAAATTCAATTAAGCGTTCTTGATTTCAGAAATGAGTGTGTATGTTTAAATAAAAAATGTGAAATCTAGCCCTGCCATCGGGTCCTGTTCTTCCTTTGCTAATGTCCCTGGGGCTTTGCTGTCCCCATTAGCATTAATTAACCCAAAGCTAGATAAAACAGAGAAGGTGGTGGGCAACCTGAGAACCAGAAATAGATAGCCAACAAAAGTTCTCTTGTGAGTCCTGGGCCTTGAGAACTGTGCCACATGTCCCAGCCACTAGAGACTGCTCTCACACTTCCTGACATCCACACTATTAAACAAACCTAGACAAGGGCAGTAGGGGGCTGCTGCACCCAACCCCCTAGGGCAAAGGGAGCATCACTTTGAGCAACTCAGGGGAGCATGGCAGCAGGCTCATTTGTTGGAGGTTTTTCTTTCTTTCCTTTTTCTTTCTTTCTTCCTTTCTTTCATTTTCTTCCTTCCTTCCTTTTCTCTGTTTCTCCCTTCCTTCTTTTCTTTCTCTCTCTCTTTTTTCTTCATTCCTTCTTTCTTTTTCTCTCTCCCTTCCTTCCTATTTCTCTCTCTTCCCCTTTTCCTTTCCTCTTTCTTTCTTTTTCTCTCTATATTCCTTTCTTCTCCCTAACTTCCTTCATTTCTTTTTCTTCCTTCCTTCCTTCCTTTCTTTCATTTTCTCTCCACAGTTCTGGGAGGCAATTATTGTAGAGGGAAAAGATTCCATTGTGCTGCTCATTTCCACAGGAAAGAAAAGTGTTGTCTAAGTTTCAAGGTCAGCTGGATTCCATGAACCTGAGAGTTCAGAAACATCGTAGAGAGAAGAGAGAGGAAGGGGATGTGTGGGGTGGAGGGTCAGGCAGAGAGAGAGTTTTAAGGATTCCTCTTGAGGAGGAAGCACATTGGGGCACAGAGGGCATCCCTCCCCAGGGGAAGACATGGGTGACGGCATCTCTCTAATCCCACCACAGTCCCCAAGGGCACAAGTCCTCTAGAAGTGAGAAAAAATATGAGGCAGAGACAGTCTGGAGTGAGTCTGTGACCTTAGGAAGTCTTAGGACATGTTAAGGTGCTGAGATACTCAGTCTATCACAGTCACTGAATGTCAGAGGTAGAAGGATCCTTCCAAACCAACCCATATCTCTACAATATGCCTGACAGGTGGTCTTCCAGACCTTGCTTGCAGACCTCCAGCGAGAGGGAATTCACTAGTCCGGAGGCAGTGGATGTGCGCTAGGAGCATCATCTAATCCATGTCGACTAGACTAGTTTTTCTTATAAAGGGAAGCAAACACATATTTATTAAGCACCTACTATGTGCCAGGCACTAGGAAAAGCATTTTACAAATAATACCTCATTTTGTCCTTACAACAACCCTGCAAGGTAAGGTCTAATCCATTTTGCAGAGGAGGAAACTGAGGCAGGTAGAGGTTAAGTGATTTACCTAGGGTCAGAGAGTTAGTAAGTGTCTGTGGCCAGATCTGAATCTGGGTCTTAATGACCTCAGGCCCAGCACTCTATCAGCCTAGCTGCCTTTAGGTATTCAGAGCCCTTCATAATCTATCCCCCTCCTACCTTTCTAGTCTCCTCCCACCTTCCTCCTTAACACACATTCTTCAATCCAGTGACAATGGCTTCCTTGCTGGTACAGAAACAAGATCCTCGACCTCTTGCCTCCTGGCATTCTCTCTGGCTGTCCCCAGGGCCTGGAATTCTCTCCTTCCTTGCTCCAACTACTGACCTCCCTGGCTTCCTTTAAGTCCCAACTAAAATCTCACCTCCTACAGGGAGCCTCCCCCAACCTCCCTTAAACCCAGTGCCTTCCCTCTGGTAATTATTGCTCTTTGTGCTATATATAGCTTGTGTTGTATATATTTGTTGTCTCCCCCATTAGATTGTAAGCTTCTGTCTTTCGCCTCTTTTTGTATGTCCACAGCTCAGCACAATACCCAGCACATAGTAGGCACTTAAGAAATGTTTATGGATTGATTGATGAAACCAGGCTCAAGACTTAATTGGTCTAGGACTAAGTCTTTAATTTCATTGATGTGTGTGTGAAGTAACAAAATAATAATAATAATTAAGGAAGATAAAGAGGTGATATCTAAAGAGACAGAAACGGCTGCCCTGGGAACTCACCAACCAACTTTGATTTCTCAGAGACATGCACAAGAGATAGAAGCAGAGGCAGGTAATAGCCAACAGGAGGGTCATGGTTCTAACAGGAAAGAGAAGCCTCAAAGGAGGAATGGGTTCCATGTTCCAGATGAGGATGGTGATGGAGAGGAGGTAGCGCTGCTCAGCTCTTCATTTGCTTCTCCCCTCTCTACCAAGGAGAGTTCCCTTTGCACTGGGGTGGACAGAAGTAGTTCATAGCTCATCTGGATTCCCCAGATAGGTAGAGAGACAGTAAGAGAATACCTAGCCACCCAGGGTGAATTTCAGACCATCTGACTCAGATGGACTCCATCCTGATAGAGCTGGAGGATGGGATGACTGAGTCAGTGTCAGTGAACTCTCAAAGATAGTAAAGTGGCTCAGGGCAACGGGCTGGATTTTCCCCAAAATGCTTAAACCTAAAGTGTGATGTGGCAGCCAGAGAAGCTTGTGGGAGCATCAGAGCTTCTAGGAATAAGGAGGTGATAGAGTCCTTCTGTCCTCTGCCCCAGGCAGAGCCCTGCTGGGAGTCAGGTGCTCAGTACTAGGCACTTTGATTTAAGGAGGACATTTAGAAGCTGGGAAACTGTCCAGAGGATGCAGCCAGCATGGTCAAGGGCCTTGGGTCTGTGCCTTCTAAGGATAGGCTAGTGGAGAAGGGAAGACTCCTGGGGGACAGGAAAGTTGTCTTCAAGTATCCAAAGGGTGTTATGTGGAGAAGGGGTCATCCTCAGTCTGCCTGGCCCCAGAGGGCAGAACCAGAAGCAATGGGGGGAGGAAGAATTTCAAAAAATCCAATTTAAGTTAGATGTCAGGAAACTTCCTATCACCCAGTGGAAAGGGGCTGCCTCAGGGGGGTGGTAGGCTTCCCACCACAGGAGGTGTGCAAAGAGAGGCTAGGTACCCACTTATCAGGGCTTCTGCAGAAGGGATCCCTGCTGGGTATAAATTCGGGAAGATGGCGCTTGAGAGCCCTGATGCTCTGCGGGTCCTATAGAGGGTCCTACCCCTTTGCTTGGGAAGGGTCAGGCTTATTGTCTCTTTTATACCCAGGCTCCAACTTAAATGGCACAAGATCTGGTCCTCTCCCCCATCAGTCAAACACATGCTCACGCATACACACACACACACACACACACACACACACAGAGTCATGAAACTGTGCCCACTGAGCACAGGCCCCTGTGAAGCCCATCCTTAGGCACTGACCCTTGATCTGAGCCAGACCCAGGCAGAGAAATCTCACAAATGGAGCTAAGGATCTCAGAATTAGAGGTCCCACTCCCAGCTCTATTTAGGTCCTCCCCAGACTGAACTGGACTCCCTCCAGGGCTGGGGTGAGGGCAGGAGCAGCATTGGGGGGGGGAAGTGAATTCACCCAGGCCAGCCCCACCTGCTCACCAGGTTGCTTGTCACTGATGCTGACTAAGTAATTCATGTTTGCATGGAATTGTAAACGTCCCTCAGAACCTCAGAAGCATGACTTAGGAAAGCCCCCGGGTTACCCCTGGATACTCCAGACCTCCTCCAAGACTTAGTCACACCCCTAAATTCAGAAGCTCTCCTGAGAATCCTGATTGGTTCCTCTGATGGGAGTATTTCTGTTCTTTCCATGAATGGAATTGGGTATAAGAGCACAGGAATCAGGAGACAAAGGGGGCAGCTCAGGTGCCATCGGGCTCATCCTTCTCATGTTACTTTGCCAAGATCCTGGCTTCATAGTCTCACTGCAGAAAGAAGGTGAGACACTTGCCAGGAGTCAAATAGCCCACCTGTGCCCAGCTGGCGGTGGCTGATACCAAGGCCAGGTGAGGAGAGGAGAGAAGAGACAGGCAGAGACAAAGAGACAGACAAGCTGACCCTCACAAGGCCTTTCCTGAGTCCAGCAGGGTAGGGAGGGGGAAAGTGGTGGAGAGGGGGGTTAGAAATAACACCAACTTGGATGTGGACAGAAGTGTACCCAATCTGCCTCCAAGTGAAGTGATGGGAACATCCATTTTCTTGGCCTCTATTTCTCTCTGTGTCTCTTTGTATTTTTATCTCTGTGTTTCTGTCTGTGTTTCGGCCTCTTTCTGTATCCATATTTCTTCTCTCTGTCTCCTTCTGTCTCTGCATTTCCCTCTCTTTCTCTATGTATTTCTCTTTCTGTCCCTGTATTTCTCTCTGTGTCTCTCTGTCTCTTTTTGCATCCATATTTCTTTTCTTTGCCTCCTTCTGTCTCTGTATTTCTTTCTGCTCATATATTTCTCTCTCTCTGTCTCTCTGTGTCTGTCTGTCTGTCTCTGTGTCTCTATGTCTGTCTCCATCTCTCTGTCTCTATCTGTGTGTGTCTGTCTCTGTCTCTGTCTCTGTCCCTCTCTCTCTCTCTCTTTCTCCCCAATTGACTAGAGAAGCCCAACAGGTCAGCTAGCTCCCTGTCCTACCTACCTCTGCCTCTCTCAGGATGTCCAGCTCAGACAGACCCTCAGGAGAGACAGATGTCAGGCAGCTCCTGAAACTCTACCGAACGGAGATCTCTATGGCGGTGGATGACACTTTCCCTCTGCTCCATGGCCTGGCGGATCATGATGTCATCACGGAGGACAAATTCAAGGTAGGAGAAGGGAGACTTTAATCCTTGCCTTTTGGAGTCTTTAGGACTTGAGGTCTGCAGGTGTCTCACACCTCCTTGTGCCCTGATGCTGGATGAGAAACCTATGAAAGAAGCCTGCTCCTCACCATTCCCATCCCTAACCGTCAAAGGCGAGTTTGTGGATCAGCCATGGCTCTGATGCTGCCCCCGCCCATTCAAGACCTAGGAGGTTCATGTTGGGAGCCAGGCTCTCCCCACCGGGAGTCGAGGGGGCCAGCCACAGTCTTCCACTTGCCCTTGGCTAAGTTCCTTCCCTCTCTGGGCCTCAGTTTCCCCAGCTTTGGAGGCTCAATGGCCTCCAAAGTCATTTCTAACTCAATGGTTGCAAGTTAGGGGAAAATTGGGAAAAGATGCCCAGACTTTCCCATGCCCATTTCCATGCCGGATGTGTTTCCTTTTAGGAGACTCAGAGTCTAAGAGAAAAGGACGGCTGCCACAAGGCCCTCCATGCCCTGCTCAGCTGGCTCCTGGGGAGGGACTCTGCGTCCATACGCAGCTTCTGGACCGTGTTGTTTAAGGACTACAACCTAGAGAGATACGGGAGGTTACAGGCCATTCATAGCAGCTTCCCCAAAGGTGAGAGGACGGTGGTGTGGGGGTCTCCCTCTGTCCAGAGGACTGCCCTGGCAGCACCAGATCATGCCTCACCCCTGTGGATCCTGGCTTCCTCCTCTACCTGTGAGGGGCCAGAGGAAGGGGAGCTATTCCACCAGAGAGCCCTGCCTGCTCCCAGCTCACTGGGAGGTCCCCTGTCTTGCAGATGTGGACCTCAGCCGAGGCCACAAGGGGAGGAGACCCCCAGCCAGCCTGAAGGTCTCAAGCACCTGCAGACTCCAGGGGAAGAGGAAGGGCCTTGAAGAAAAGGAGTCCCCTCAATCAGCCTCGCAGTCCCTGAGATGTGCTTCCAGTCCAGGTGGGTGACAGAAAGATTCTGTCCCATGGCCCTTTGTGGCCCTGATGCCCTGGTCCCAAGTCCTGGCTTCCCTGGTGGTCCATCCCCACCTGATGTGAGCACACACCCTGCCTTCGGGGGCTCTGTCTACAGCTATGCAGTGCTCAGGTCCCACTGCCCCCCACCTTTTCCCCATTGGGCCCAATCTCTGCCTAGGAGGCCATTTACCTTCTTATTACTATGCAGGGCCCCCCCACAAGGTGAAGCCCCCCAAGAAGCCGGAGAACCCAGAGCCCCCTCGCTTCCCTCTGGGAAACGGTGAGTGAAGCCTGTTAGAGGTGTACCCTTCGAAGAACTCCTGCGGGATGCTCCCACTCGCCACACGCCATGGCCAGGCCCATCCTGGGTGCGAGAATCCTCCTTCAGGGGCGAGGCTAGACTGAGCGGCTACCCCCAAATGCCTGCCTGCAGTACCATGGTGGGGGGGAGCAGACAGCAAGGGCTTTTGAGATAGCTGTGCCCCATGGGCCCTTTACCCAAGTCACCAACACATCCAGGACAACTCCTGTTTGCCAAGCTCTTTACAAACATGGCTTCCTTTGGTCCTCACTATGCCTATTTCACAGAAAAGGACATTGAGGTTCAGACAGATTCAGCAATAGTTGCAGAGTCATACAGCTAATAAGTGTCAGGTTCTAAGCTCAGGCAGTTTGAATGAGGATGGGGGCAGCAGATAGCTAATTCACATTCTATGAAAAGATGTTGTAGGTTATGGTCTGGAGAATCATTCTCTATTTCACCTTTTTTATTTTATTTTATTTTTTAGGCAAGGCAATTGGGGTTAAGTGACTTACCCAGGGTCACACAGCTAGTAAGTGTTATGTGTCTGAGGCTGGATTTGAACTCAAGTCCTCCTGACTCCAGGGCCGGTGCTCTATCCACCGCACCACCTAGCTGCCCCCACCTTTTTGTTAGTCACTGAATTGAGTACGGGTTTCAGGGAAAACTCATTTGAGCATAACTGAAGATCCTGGGCAATCTGACTGATGTCCATCCTCCCTGGACCTCAGTTCCTTGTAAAATGAGCAGAGCTTGGTGACACAGTGGTAGAGTACCAGGCCTGGAGTCAGAAAGACTCATCTTCCCTGAGTTCAAATCTGGCTTCAGATACTTACTAGCTGTGTGACCCTGGGCAAGTCACTTCACCCTGCTTGCCTCAGCTTCTTCATCTGTTAAATGAGCTAGAGAAGGAAATGGCAAACCACTCCAGTATCTCTGCTGAGAAAACCCCAAACGGGGTCAGGAAGAGTCAGACATGACTGAAAAACGACTGAAGAACTGGATTAATAGGCAGTGTGAGGAAAGGAATGATGTCTCCAGGGCATCCAGTCTGAAACGTTCATAGTCAGCCTGTCAGTCAACAAGCATTTATTAAGCATAAACAGAATCTAACAGTGTTCTTGAGAGAGAGACAAAGACAGAGACCAAGACAGAGGAGAGAGAGACAGAAAGAGAAAGAGAGAGAGAGACAGAGAGAGAGGAGAGACAGAGATGATGATGATGATGATGATGATGATTGATGATGATGATGACGATGACAAGTAACTTAGGAGAAAGCTGTTTCAGCTGAATGCTGAGGTAAGCAACCACGTCACAAAGGTGGGAGAAGTGAGAGAAGAGGTACAAAGTGTCGGCAGCTTTTTTAGGAATCCAAGTGAGAAAGCGAGGGGAGATAGAGGATGATATTTAGCAGGGGTGGTGGGATCTAGGAAGGGTTTTTGAGGAAGAGAGAGACAAGGGCATGTTTGTAGGCAGCAGCGATGGAGCCAGTAGATGAGAAACTGAAGATGAGAGAGTTGGCATCTGCTAGGAAAGGGTACATTAAGGATGAATGGGGAAAGGTTGGCCTCAGGGAAGGGGTGTTAACCTCTTCATAACAGACAGGGATAAAGGAGGGGGTGGGGGATGCTGCCAAGAGGTTGTGAGAGGAGGAAGAAGGAGGGAGAGAGGGAAGGTCTTGGTGAATGGTCTCGATTTTTTTTTGGTGAAGTACAAGGTGAGTTTCTCTCTGATAGGGTGAAGGGAGAAGGTCCAGGGAAAGAAAAGAAGGTTTAGAAAAGCTTCTGTGGTGAGTGGGAGAGTGAATCAATTAAGTGTAAAAGAATTGTCTTGCTGCAGTGAGAACCCAGCTGAGATTATGTGAAATAAAATTGTTATGGACAGGTCTGTGAATTTCTCCAGCATCATTCCATAGTACGTAAGCTGGGGTGCAAGCCTCAAATGGTGGGAATGATCCAAAACTAAAGCTTGGCAGGGCAAGATCAGAAAAAGAACAGGGCAATGGACTTGAGAGAAGAGGGTGGTGGAGAGATGAGCTGGTTCACCAAGGGGTCAAAGGGCAAGAGAGGAGGGTGTAGCCATTGCAAGAGTCATGGCCTAGGGAAGAAATGAGGGGTGGAGGGCTTGGAGCTTGCAGTGAGGATGGAGAACAGGAGTATGATAGATAGAGGGGGAGGTTGTGCATAGAAAGTGCTCAGATCAGGGGTGTGCTTTTAGTGCAGGAGGGGACTGACAGCTGTCTTCTTATCTCTTGGCCCCATAGGAATTCGGAGTGTATCTGCATCAGTCCAGAGGGCTGTGGCTGTGGCATCCAGCGAGCTCCCAGGCACCTGTGGGGCAGTAGAGGGTGTCCTTATCAAACAGGTGTTTGAGTCAGGTAGGTGACATGGGGGGGGGGGGGGGGCAGGGCCTAAAGAGCAACTGAAGCAAGAGGGATGAGCCCCTCAGGACATCTTGTCCCTAGAGCCAAAGAGGAGAAAAGGGCCTGATTCTGAGCTAATGGGGTGGCCGGCCACTAGAGTCATCCTAGACCAGACACATGGCCAAGAGAGCTGATATAGGGACTGAGGGCTCCAGAGTACCCATAGTGCCCGGAGGGTGCATGGCCCCCAGGCCAGCCCTCCCCTGACCCCAGGCCCTTCCTTCCAGGAGGCTCCAAGAAATGTATCCAAGTTGGGGGAGAGTTTTACACACCAGGCAAGTTTGAGGAGCCCAGTGGGAAGAACAAAACAAGAAGCCCGAAGCCGCCAACACGAACCAAAGCTACCCAAGCGCCCCAAAACGTGAGGCCTGCAGAGGTGGAGTTAGCAGCCCCTCTGAGGATGCAGTGTCTTATCCCCCTCTCACCTGCACTATCCAGCCTTGCCCTGCCCAATGGCAGCCCCACTTCGAAGTCTCCACCTGACAGAGAGGCACCCAAGGGTGCTGACCTGGAGCTGGGAAGCCTCAGGGGCAGGCCCAGGGCTCCCTGGGAGCAAAGGTTCACTAAGCTCCCAGGGCTCCTCTGTGACTCCCTGGTGCCCTGCTGGAGACCATCTCTGCTGGGGTCTGCTAGAGACAGTGTGACTATGCAGGCAGACAGCACTCACCATTCTCAGGATTCCCTTGGCCTCTCTCCTCATCTGTGTGCTGCCTCTGAGGCCCCCAAGAGCACCTTGGGCACCCCTAAAGCTTCTCTTTGTCCCCATCACATCTGCAGCCTGGGCACCACAGCATGTCTCTGCTGAACTGCTAGAATGAAGGAGCTTTGCCCAGTGCAGAGGGCAATGACTTGGGGCAGAGCTCACCTTCTGATGGGTGAGGACCCTCTGGTTTTCTACCTCCAGGGCAGAGCAGAGCTGCAGCAGAGCCAACAGAATGGTGTGCCTGCTGCTCCAGCCCAGCCCTCAGAACTGCACCTCCACCAGGTAAAGACAGGTCACTCCTTCCCCCTCCTCCCCTACCCTGCTGCATACACCAGGCTGCCCAGCCCTAGGTGGAGGTGAAATGGGTTGGGTTCAGGCATGAGGAATGGAGAGGTAAGTGAGTCTAACAGAATTCTAACCTACTGTGACTGAGGGGCTGGAAGGACATTAGAGAGCCCTGACAAGGTCCAGAGTGGGCATGACTTCACATCGACAGATGGCAATTTCAAGATTGGCAGTGACATCCCCTCAGGAGACCTACATTTTTATTTGGATGAATGGCCATTTTCAAGAATCTGAAGGGTTGTATTAGGAAGGAGGGATCAGCTTTGTTCCACTTGGGACTCCCCCCCGCCCCAGGGCAGAGCCAGAAGTCGGGGGAGGGAGGAGGGGAAAGCTACAGCCTGGATGTCAGAGAAGACCTAACAATGAGAACTGTCTCAGAGTGGGAGTGCAGGCTGGATGACCCCTTTCTGAAAGATGCAGTAGAGTGGACAACCTCTGAGCTTCCAGCTCTGACATTCTGTGATGTGTGGGGGGCAGAGGGGATGAGTTATTAACAGGATTATGTGAGCAGCTCACTCTGCTTCGGGAAGATCCTGAAGGGGGCTAAGGCAAGCTGGTGGGCATAGGCTCCCAGGAGAGAAGAGATGAGGCTGAAGAAAAAGACATAGCTCACTGGGTTGGGGGAGGAGGTGAGATGGACCCCTTAGACCACATGAGCAAGCCTGCACAGCCCTGCCTCTGTTGCCTGTCATGCTCCAATGGGCCCATCAGATTGGGTTCTCTGGCTCAGACCTATGATTGAGGAGGGAGGATACTGGGGCAGGCAGCAAGACTGGAATTTTGGTTCCCCCTGGCTTTAGAAGAATGATGATGAGTGTGCTGTGTGCAGAGACGGTGGGGAGCTGATCTGCTGTGATGGTTGTCCCCGGGCCTTCCACCTGGCCTGCCTAGAGCCACCATTGACAGAGATTCCCAGGTAGGAGCCCAAGGGAGCCAGAGCCTAGGAGGTCCACAGTCCCCTGGCTTTGCTTAGCAGGTCAATCCAACCAAGGCCCCCATGCCCAGAGGGCCTGGCAACTTGGAAGAACCTTAGACATCCCTTCATATACCTCCTCATCATACTGAGGAGGAAAATGAAGGGGATGGGGTACGATTTGCCCAATTGGCCATGGTCCTAACCACTCTGGCATGACAGATGGGGGTTTGGGGGGCATCCTAGGGTGAGTGTATCATCACAAGTCACCCTATAAACACCTCCCAACCAGAGGGGGAAATGCTTAGCTGGACAGCAGTCCTTCTTGCTCAGAGGATATAGGGAGAGTTCATCTGAAGAAGATGGGCTGGGGGTGGGGAGGAAAGAGTAATAGTTTCCAAGTTCAGTAGGCACCAGTGCTATAATATGACAACTGAAAAAGGTAGTGAGCTCTTAAGCAGCCTCCAGGACCAGGGAGGAAGCGTTTGGCTGGCCTCTGCTCTGGCCAGACCCCATCTGGAGCCCTGTAGTCAGTCCTAGGCACCAGTTTGAGAAGGACATTGATAAGCTAGGAAGGGCTCCGAGGAGTGCAAGCAGGATAGTCAAGGGTACCGAGTGCATGTCACCTTGGGGAACATGACAGCCCTTGTCAAGTGGCTGAAGAGCTAACTTGGGGAGACAGGTGGAGACTTGTTCTCCTTGGGCCCAGAGGACAAAACCAGAGGTGTGGGTGGGTATGTGGGGGCGAGGCCAAGGCAGGCAGGTTCAGCAATGATGCGAATTAAGGCTGGATGTCCGAAACAACTTCCTAAGAGCCCGTAAGTGGAAGGGGCTGCCTTGGAAGGTGGTGAGATCTCTCCCCTTGGAGCCTCAAGTAGAGGCTGAACAACCACTTGACAGGTCTGCTAAGGAGGTTTCTTTCTGGTAAGGGTTGGATTAGATGCCTCTGGGGCCCCTGCCTGCCCTGAGACTATAATTCTGTGATCAAAAATGTCATTTCTAATTTCCTAAAAGAGATGGTTTGTGGAAAGGAGGTGCTGGGAAACACTGGTAAATGGACTCTCCCTTTCCCCCCTTCTCCGTGCTCCTCTACCTGCTGGGAGACTCTGCTTCCAGTGGGATGTGGCGGTGTGGATGCTGCATAGTTGGGAAGGTGCACCAGGATGGGCATCATGGAGAAGACAGAGCCCTCCACCCGGAGACTTCGGTATGCAACTGAACTGAGGCCCCTCAAATCTGCAGGGATGTGAGTTCTCTGTTCTCCAGCAGTTACCTTGTCCGTGGTCCTGATTCTTTCTCCCAGAAGCCAAAAGTTGGTGGGGGTCATAACCCAAAAGTCAGCTTGAGGATCGGTTTTCCCTTCCATTGACATTGTCCAAAATCGGTCATTTAACATTCAGGGCCAGTCATTCCTGTTCTTTCCAAGCAGGCTGTCCTTGGGCTGAGGCCAGCTAGAACACAGGCGAGGAACCCCATCCAGGAGCCCACCCCAGGCCTGGGGGCTCCTTTCACCTTCAAGCAGCCTCTCCCCCCTGCTTCTTCTCCATCTCTGATGCCAGTACTTCCTCTGGCCACCTGCCAGCCCCTGCAGAACTCAGGGCCCGAGAGGCAGCAGGTGAGTGAGACTGCAAGGTCACAAACTGTGGATTTTGAGTGCTTTTCTGGGGCCGCCCTAACTCTCTGGGCGTAGTCTGGCTTCTTCAAGCATCTTGGGCCCATCCCCAGGATTCTAGACCCTCCTACCCTTTCCTTCCTCTCTGTCATTGCATTCAGATGGTACTTTTAGGCAGCCGGCAGGTGCTGGCCAGGGGCTTACAAAGCAATGGACAGTTAAACAAAGCCATCCCTTCAGAAGCTAGCAGCCCAGGCCTTTTAGACCACAGACCCTCAGGACTCCTATGGACTATAGTAGCCAGCTTGTTCAACCCACACCTGAGCCAGAAGGCCCTTCACTACGTCCTCCAAAAAGATGGATTCTTCTGCTCACAGAGCTACAGAGAGGGGGCACCCGCTACCTCCTAAGGCAGCTTGTTCCATTCTGGCACATCTCCTGGCTAGTAAGTCTACTCCTGGAATCCTCTGGGGGCCAATCAGGCTAAGCCCAAGGCCTCCAGCACAGGACAGCCTTTCAAATGCCACCAAGCTGTGGGGAAGAACTGAACTGATGGATGACAAATGTTGATTGGTTGATTGATTGATTGATTGATGATGCAGTTGGAATCCAGAAGAGTACTGGGCCAGAGTTAATAGTTTTCCTTCTGACTTTGTATCCCCAGAGATTTAAGAGAGATTAATCTAAACTCTTACACGTGGGTTTAAAAATCCAGCTTCACAAATATGAGAGGGGAGGTGTGGCTGGATGGTAGTTCATTTGAATGAGATTCCTGGTTTCTGGGGACTTCAGATCTAACTGACATAAAATACATGAGATTGCAGCTCACACTGAGGCTGCATTGAGAGGCATGGGGTCCAGGACAAGGGAGGCAAGAGCTGTCCTCTGCCTCGGTCAGACTGAAGATGGAGGGTTGTGGTCAGGTCTGGGCACCAAAGTTTAAGAAAAGTATTGATCGTTGAGTTCAAATCCGGCCTCAGGCACTTGACATTTACTAGCTGTGTGACCCTGGGCAAGTCACTTAACCCCAATTGCCTCACCAAAAAAAGAAAAAAAAAAAAAAAAAGAAAAAAAAGAAAGAAAAGTATTAATCGGTTGGAGAACATCCAGAGGAAGGCAGCCAGACTGGAGGGACCTAGAAACCTGTAACGCAGGGGTCAGTCAGAGAAAAGGACACTAGGTGGGGGAGGAAGGGGTGGAGGAAAGGGAGAATGGGACCTGAGAACACTGACCACAAGTGTTGGAAGAGCATGGATAGATGAAGATGAGGGATTAGGTTGGTTTTGTTTGGCCCCAGAGGAGCCATGGGTAGAAGTGGTCAAAGGCTAATGAAGGCTTGATTAGGGAAGGACTGGCCACCCATGAGATCTGTCCCTCCACCTCAGCTGCCAAGTGGTCTAAGCTGCCTCAGGAGGTGGAGGGTTGTTCCTCAGTGCAGGTCTGTAAGCCAAGGCCAGATGGCCACTTTTCCTGGAGAGGGCTCAAATGACCTTGGAGACTCTTTGACTATGACTAAAGTTATGCTTCAAGATGAGAAGTTACCAAAGGTTTGGTTTGTAGTGTGTATAAAGAATATGGCACTGGCCTCCCTCCCCAGCCCCCCAACTCTCTTCAGGCTTCTCTTCCTAGGCTAGGACTAGCTTGCTTGTCCTTGCCTTCATGCTGGAGGCTCCAGAAGGCTGCTCACACAGCTACAACTCATCTCTCAGGCGCCTAGGAGTTGAAACCAGGCAGAGAAGCAGATGCAAAGTGGAGTGAGCTGAGAGTCCAGTTTCTGCCCTCTATAAAGAAAAGCATTGGGAGGAGTCTGGTACTCAGCTCTCCAGTTCAGAGGAGAGAGGAGGGAGGTGATGTCAGTCAAGGCTTGAGTTGGTAGCATGGTGGTAAGCTTAGAGCTTAACCTGGGACCACTCAAAACAGCAGATGCAATCTCTCCCATCCTTCTTTCCTTCTGAGGAGCTCTCCCAATCTGGATGCGAGGGGCTGCTTTGATTCCACCTTCTCTCAGCACAGTGTCAGGCTGCTTTTCTTTGTTTTTCACCCCAAATGTCTTTTCCCGGCCTCTTTTAGTAAAAGCAATGCCCAGATAGAAAGGAGGCAGTTCCTTACACACAACATCATTGTATACTGTGGCTATATCTGCAGGGCTTCCCGAATGGGGGAGTGCTATGGTTTCAGAGACACAATTCACTGCCAGTCATCTTTTTTCTGGCAGGCTCTCTCCTCGGAGGAGCTATCACAGGGAGGACAGCATTGGCATTTGGGGGTGAGATGGGAGGAGGGGGCGTGCTGTGCTGCTGGCTCACGTTCCTATGCTGCCCTCCTGGTGATGGGATCTCTCTGTGGCAGAAGCTCTCAGCTGAGGACAGGTGTGAGGTCTGCCAAAGAAGTGAAGACGTGCTTCACTGTGCCCAGTGCTCCAGGGCCTTCCATTGGCGCTGTCACTTCCCAGCCAACTCCAGCAGGACAGGGTGAGTGACGTCTGGCCAAAGCAAGCCTGCTGGAAGGAAGCCCTCACAAGACTCCACTGGGGACCAAGGAGGGACATCCTCAGAGCCCCTGAGATCTCTGATCTCTAGGAATGTGAGGCACCTTAAGCACACCTCCTAACCTGCTAGAAGGAGGCTGAGGTTTTGCCTTTAGAGATGCATTCCTTTGGGTGTCAGGCATTCACATCTTATTTATTTATTTTTTTTATTTTTAGGCCATTGGGGTTAAGTGACTTGCCCAGGGTCACACAGCTAGTAAGTGTCAAGTATTTGGTCTGAGGCCAGATTTGAACTCAGGTCCTCCCGACTCCAGGGCCGGTGCTCTATCCACTGTGCCACCTAGCTGCCCCAGGCATTCACATCTTTATGGTAATCACTATGAGAGTTTAGGTTAGGAAGGAAGAGATTAAGGAGTAACCTTGGAATTTACAGTCCAGAGGGAAGGACAGGGCCCGGTAGAGAAGATAGGGGACTAGACTTCCATCAGGAAATAGGACACCAAAATAGAGGGGAATGTCAGAGCTTAAAAAGATATCAGAGAGACAGCTAGGTGGAACAGTGGGTAGGGCTCCAGCCTTGGAGTCAGGAGGACCTGAGTTCAAATCTGACCTCAGACACTTGACATTTACTAGCTGTGTGACCCTGGGCAAGTCACTTAACCTCATTGCCTAGCCAAAAAGCAACCTTCTCAAGGGGTGGGAGAGATTTTGGAACTCAAATTTTTTTAAGATGAATGTTAAAATTTTTAATGTAATTGGGAAATATTTAATGAAATAAATAAAAATATTTTTTTAAAAAGACATCCTAGTTGATCTAGGTTGTCCTACAGAAACAGGAGGCTCACCTGGGACAAACTCTTCAAACCTAGTTAACTTGAGCTTGGTAAATTGAGCCCTTCCACAGGAATGGAAACCTGAGCCTCTGCTCTCCTTTGACCCCATATGTCCTGCCCACAAGCCCAGCTCACCCCGCCCTCTACCCAACCACCACAGGAAGCATCTCTACCTTCTCTGTCCTTTCCTCTCATTCCAGGGGGATCGCCAAGTGCAAATTGTGTTCACAAGACCCTGCCCTCACTCCTGGAGAAGATACTCTGAGCTCTAGCATCTCAGCCCTGGAATCTGTGAAGGTCAGTGGGGCCCTCAGCCATTACCAAGTTTATCAATCTAATGAGATTTCTTCCTAATCCCTGCCTACAGGCCTATGCAAGGTCTAAGAAATCCCTTGTGTGGGAGACTGCCACTGTGTGGGCTCCCCAGACGCCTTCCCAGGAGCCAGAGGGAGCTGTGGCTTCACATGCCATTGTCCCCCGGAAATGAAGGGAACCTGGGAGGTTCAAGAATGAACCTTGACTGAAGTGGGCCCAAGCCCCCTTTCTGGAATTCAAGTTAGTCCAGAACACACTGATTGATATCTTCATTAACTAACAACTTTGGTTATTTTTGTTTTTGTTTTTTGTAGGCAATGGGGTTAAGTGACTTGCCCAAGGTCACACAGGTAGTAAGTGTCAAGTGTCTGAGGCCAGATTTGAACTCAGATCCTCCTGACTCCAGGGCCAATGTTCTATCCACTGCGCCACCTAGCTGCCCCAGCTTTGCTGTTGTTCAGTCATTTTTCAGTTGTGTTTGACTCTCCATGACCCCATTTGGGGTTCTCTTGGTAAAGATACCGGAGTGGCTTGCCATTTCTTTCTTTGGTTCATTTTACAGATGAGGAAACCAAGGCAAACAGACTTGCCCAGGGTCACACAGCTAGTAAGTGCCTGAGGTCAGATTTGAACTCAGATGAGTCTTCCTGACTCTAGTGCAGGCACTCTATCTACTGTGCCACCTGGCAGCTCTTAACTAACCTAAATAACCTTATGTTCACACTGCTGGCTTTCCAGGCTCCCTGACTCACAGGGCTCCCCAGACTTTCCAAGGGAACTTAGAACAAAGCCTCTTTGAGCCCGTGGGGCCGGCCCCAAGGTTGGGAGGGAAAGAGGGTGAGAAAGAGTAGCCCCCTCCCCTCCTGTGGCAGGAGGCACACGCTGGCCCCGACCCCTCAGGACCAGAGGCTAGCAGTCCTCTAGGGAGGGTCAGGACAAAGGCCTCTGGGCGGGCTGTTAGCTGGGGCTGGCGTTCTGGAGAAACATCTTGCCTTAGACCCAACTACTGCTTGAAACACGGCTGACCTTCCACTTCTCTCCAACCCAGGTGAGCGGAGATTCTTCTCGGAATGAGGCCATTCTGAACAAAGATGAGCTGGACTCACTCCTGGGAGAGGTAACTGACCTGTGGAGTCTCACGTTAGCCCCTAGCAAATTCCACCTTATTGGATTTGACTCAACATCTCGCACAGAGGACTTTGTGACATAAGGTCCTTGGACCTCTGAGGTCCCCTCCATCTCTGAATCAATGACCCCAGGGTACCTGTGAATGACACAAGGGGGCTGGACTGAGGGGTCTTCAAGGGCCCTTCTCGTTCTATCCATTTAGTCTTCTTGGTGTCGAGGAATAGAACATTCTTACTGTTCTAGAACCTGGAAGTTCAGAGAACACCTGGACAGCTCCCACATCTAGTCAGGTTCCTGGTCAAAAGTTAGCTATTTTTCAGGTGGGATGAGGTCAGGGTGAGGCTGAAATGGAGGGATGGGTTGGAGAGAGGACCATGTGTCCTTCACGGTGTCCATGAAGATCTAGAATCATGGGATCCTACACCTGGAACTGGAAAGGACCTTAGAGGCCATGGATCCATCCCTTTCATTTCACAAGGGAGGAAACTGAGGCTGAGCATGGTTCAGTGAGTCACTGAGGGTCCCACAGCTCTTAAGGGTCTGAGGCAGAATTTGCACCCAGGATTTATCCCTGATTCCAAATGCTGCACCCTACACACTAAGCCCTGGCTGCTTCTTAAATAGAGGACCAGATGGGGCTCCAACCCCCACTCCCAGGCTGAGGGTGCCAATGCCTATTCCATTAGGCAGGCAGCCTTTTCTGAGAGGGTGGGGGGCCTCATCACCTTTTCCCTGAACCCCCTGAGAGCATGGTGGGGCTCTGTCTTCCAGAACTCCTTTGATGGAATCCTACAGTGGGCATTCCAGAATATGTCACGCCCCCTCTCTGAGGCCCAGAGCTTTTTTTCTTAATGTCCTATAAAAATGGAGCCCAGTCAGCCAAGGAAGAACATGGATAGGTGGCGGTGACGGACATCTTGAGAGACCCAGGGCTCTTTCCCACAAGCGTGTCCAGCAATCTGCAGATTTCTTGAGCATCCTCTGAATGCAGGAGCAATGGCCAGTGTTTGGCTGTATCATGCCATTCCACAAAAGTACTCATTTACTTATTCAAGATTACTCATCTCTGTGCTTTGTGGGAGGGGCCGTGGAGTGGAGGTGGAGGGGAATGGAGTGAGCAGAAGAGACAAAGGTGGATCACCAAGGAGGGAGGCACCGCCCAATCCTGGATAAAAATCAATGAGACAAATAAAATAAAGGACTAGAAATCCTAGTCAGAGACCCATGGCATAGAGGAGAAGGGACTGGCCTTGGCATCCGGGGGCTTCAGGGTCCACCTCTAACACTTGACTTCTGCACATGACCCTAGAAAAGTCACTTCACCTCTGGTGTGTGGGCGGCTTTACTGAGCAAGACATCAGTGGGTTGGAGGGCCTTTCCACATGGTGATATCACCATCCTCTCCCACATTTTGCATTGTACAAACTCACTAACTTCTCACCTGTGGGACAGGTGCTGATGAAAGGAATTGGTTTGAATACCTGCTCTACCACTTACAAACTTGGTGACTTTGGGCAAATAGCTTAATGTCCCAGGGACTCCCACCTCCTCCTTGGTTAGGATGAGGTCCCTGCCAGATCCACTTCCCACAATCCGAGGGCCCCCTCTTGGCTGGTGGAACTTAGAGAGTCTCGTCCAGAAGACAAGGCCAGAGACTTCACCACATCTCTCAGGTTAGGGAAATGATTGACAGTGAATTGTGCTGAAGAATGAGCCTTACTGCGCACACAGGCCAAAATCTAGAATTCTCTCCCCAGAGGCTTTGATGCATCTCCACCAACAAGAAGGTGTGAATGGCTCAAAGAGGAGCCAGGCACAGGATAGCTTCAAAGGAAAGGACTATTTTGTGGGGTGTTGCCACCCTGGCGTCCTGGGGCCAATTGGCATTCTTGGCATGTGTCTGGGACCTCTTTTTGCCAGGGTGCACAGCCTCTCCCAGGGCACCGGAACCTGCTCCTCCCTAGACCCCTTCCCCAGTATCCATGGACCTCTCTGCCCCCTGTGCCTACCTTGGCTAGAAAAATGACTCACTCTGACTTCTTGGATTTCCCCATCAGGATTCAGTTTGGTGCTTTTCTAGGTCTGGTTGAAGGAGTTAGGGAGGAGAGTTCACTCCACTGCTTTCTGTTACTCTTCTAACTTGGTTCTGCCTCCATCGTAGTAAACTTTTTCAATTCAAATTAATACCTACTATATGCCAGTCACTGTACTAGGTGATGAAGATACAAGTGCAAAAATTAAAAATTAAATAGTCCTGTCTCAAAAACTAGTCTACCAGGGTGTGTGTGTGTGTGTGTGTGTGTGTGTGTGTGTAATAACATGTACACGTATAAAAAAATACAAAATACATAGCAAACAAATACAAGGGATTTTGGTGGGGAAGACCCAATCACTGGACTGATCAGGAGTTGGCCACTGAACAGAGCCACGAACTTAAAGCTTAGGTATTTTCAGTGACTGGAGTGAGGACAGGACCATTCCAAGCCTTCAGGACACCTTGGCAAAGGCCAGAAAAGCGGAAAGGGAATATTGATGGAGTAGTGGAGAAGGAACTTCAAAATGGCCCAGTTGGAGCGAAGCAGGGACTGGTGGGAGCGGGTAGAGGTGAGGGAGAAACAGGGAGGCGTTGATCTGTGATTTAGGGATTTCAGTGTTGCAGCTGCGGGAGGGTGTACTGGAGAGGGTGCAGAGGGGGACAGAGAGACTGCAGCCTTTTTTTTTTTTTAAATGCAGTTAACGAGGGAGGTGGGCTCTGCGCTGTCCCACCCGCTGGTAAGGGGGGAAGTGAACACTCCTCGGGCTGTACCGCATCTTCCGAGAGCGCGCCCTCGGCGAGACGGGGGTGAGCGCTGGAGCCTCACTAAGTGCGGGCCCGGGGTCCGGGGCGGACCCTACCACTGTGGGGCGCGGGGCGGAGCGAGACTGGGTTGCCTGGAGACGGCGTCTGGGCCGCGGGCCAACTGAGCCCAGAGCGCAGCGAGAGGCAGCCGGATCCAGACCATGGCGTCTCACGGGCGAGAGAAGGCGCCTCCCGACCAAGTGCATCAGAACCAGATCATGTGCGAGCTGATCCGCAAGGAGCTTCGGGCCCAGAAGCTGTACACTACTTACCACGTGAACCCCAACCGCAAAGGTGCGCCCCACCCCGCCCGGGGGGAGGGGGAAGGGCTCGGAGTATCAGGATGCGCCTGCCCACCCGTGGCCTCTCCACCTGTGGGGATGCACCCAGGGATGCCCTGGGAGAAGATAAGGGGAGCCTGAGAATGAGACCGGAAAACTGCGCATGATCTTTTATGCTCTGACGAACCCCGCCAAGGGGCATCCACGCTGCAAGTGCTAAGTGAAGGATGCGCCGGCCCACCCACCCGTGGGGAGGGGATGGACCCGGGGATGCACTGGGAGAGGGTAAGGGGAACCCCAAGAGTCTCTTCCCCAGGATGTTGCACTTGGAAGATCGCGTGAACTCCACTGAGTGCACCCACACTCACCCAGAGTCCCCTCAGGATTTAGTGGGAGTCCTACAGCCCACTCTGTGTGAGGTGTGTCTGGGGGTGGGGGGAGTACAGGGGAAGCCTGGGGTGTAAAGGTCAGCTGCAGCTGCAGCTGCAGAGAACAGCACACCTGGGACAGCTGGGGTGGGGGGTGAAGGGACAGAAGGGAGAAACACCCTAGAATGCTAGATTTGGAGCCAGGAAGACATGAGTTCAGATCCTGCTTCATACACGTAATAACTGAGTGACCCTATGGAAGTCTTTTGTCTTCTCTTTCGGCTTCCCCACCTGTAAAATGGGGATAATGTTAGCACCTGCCTCCCAGGGCTGTGTGAGAATAAAATGAGATGATATTTTGTAATTTTCACAAACCTTAAAGGGCCATATTAATACTAGCTATTATTTATTTAATTATTTAGTATATAATAATACTAGCTATTATCATTATATTATAGTATAGCTAAATACTAGCTATTACTATGATTGGTGGATTCTTTTGATGACTAATTTACCCTCTGGTTCTAGGACCTCAGGGAAGTTTTCTTTGATGATTTCCTGAAGGATGTTGTCCAGTTCTTTTTTTCATCATGATTTTCAGGTAGACCAATACTTTTTAAATTGTCTATCCTGGATCTATTTTCCAGGGCAATTGTTTTACCCCTGGGTTTTTTACTTTTTTTTTTTTCCTATTTTTTCATTCTTTTGTTTCTGTTTGACTGATTCTTGCTCTCTCATAGAGTCATTAGCTTCCACTTGCCCCATTCTAATTTTTACTGAGTTGTTTTCTTCTATTAGATTTTGTTCCTCCTTTTCCATTTGGCCCACTTTACTTTTTAAAGAATTCTTCTCTTCAGTGAGTTTTTGTGCCTCCTTTTCCATTTGGCCAATTCTACTTTTTAAGGACTTGTTTTCTACACTTAATTGTAGTCCTTCCTTTTCCAAGCTATTGACTCTCTCTAGCTATTACTATGTCCTCTACAAGAGGAGAATGAGAGTAGGCAGGCTCCACAGGAGAACCCAGCTGTTCTCCTGTGCCCCTCCCCACCCAATGCCAAGCATAAGACCTGGATTCTGGAGCATCAGAGGTGAATGAAAAGGAAGGAAATCCAACTTCAGGTTCCCCCAGGAAAACTTGCCAGAGAGTGCCTCCTAATGCCTATTGTGGAGCAGCTAGATGTCAAAGTGGATAGAGCACTGGGCTTGGAATCAGGAAGACCCATCTTCATGAGTTCAAATCTGGCCTCAGACACTTACTAGCTATGTGACCCTGGGCAAGTCACTTAACCCTGTTTGCCTCAGTTTCCTTATCTGTAAAATGAGCTGGAGAAGGAAATAGTAAACCACTCCAGTATCTGGGCCAAGAAAAACCATAAACAAGGTCATGGAGAGTTAGACATAATAGAAGAACAACAAAATGCCCATCTTGCCAAGCTGGGAATGAGGCTGGAGACAGTGGTCAAGCACTCTGTAAGAAAAGACACAAACTGGGGCATTCCAGGGAAGCAGGACTAGGTTCTCCAACCCCCAGAGACAATTTGGAATTAGGGTTAGGGTTAGATGTGCACGTGCGGCACCCCCCAGTCCTCCAGATGTGATGAGCTGGAGAATATTCATGGCATAGGGTTAGACAGGTGGGGAACCTGCAGCCTGGAGGCCACATGTGGTCCTCAAGTGCAGCCCTTTGACTGAATCCAAACTTCACAGGAAAAATCCCTTTAATAAAAGGATTTGTTTTGTAAAACTCAGACTCAGTCAAAAGGCTGCACCCAAGGACCTAGAAAGCTACACGTGGCCTTGAGGCCACAGGTTCCCCACCTCTGGTAAGATAAGCTTTTATCTCTGGAAGTCCATTTTCCTTTTAAGGCTCAGCTTGGTTGCCAACTCTCTTAATAGCAAGTAATTATAAAGCACAGTAAGGTTTGCAAAGCACTTTACAAGGGTGATGTCGTTTAAGCCCCAAACTCTGTGGGGTCACTGCAATTATTCACATTTTATAAATGAGGAAACTGAGACACAGAAAGGTTTCACAACTTGCCTACTGCTAATGAATGTCCAAGGCAGAATTTGAAATCTGGCCTTCCTGACTGCCAAGTCTGAGGTTCTAGCCTTTACATCATCTAGCTACCTACTTCATCCCTGAAGCCAGCCTTTCCCACTCGACCCCGGAGAGCAGTGATCTGTCTTTCCTGGAATCGCTCAGCCCAAGCTGCTTGACCTTCACACTCCTGTGAACATATTTGTCTCTTTTCTTTGCTAAACTGCACAAAGATTTCATTTTTGTCTTCCTAGCATCTGGAACACAGATACTTTAATCCTTTTTTTTTTCTGTCCCAACCCAAGATTTCATTCTTGGGGGGGAGCATCCAGTGCTAAAACTCCCCCTCCCAAGACACTGTTCTTCATCTTAGCCCTAGAAAGCTGCCTCCTGCCAGGCAAGGCTAGTACGTGTCAGAAGTGGGACTTGAACCCAGGGCACCACAACTGAGGGCCGTGCTCCATCCCCTGCACCAGGCTGCCTTTCTTAAAACAGTGAGTAAACACAGAATCTCAGTTTGGAAATACCCATTCTGGATGAAACCATAATGGCATTCTGTGGTCACTGCTTCCTTTTCTAGATATTTCTCAGCCACCCCTTTAGTTACACATTTTAGAGTTTTATCAAGAAATTGGATCTTGCTGGGAATCTTTTGTGCTTTTCCTTTCCATTCTTCTTTTGTGAAATTTAAGACTCTCATTTTAGATCATTACAGTGAAAAGAGGGTTATGGCTTGAGAAGACGATCAATGAAGAAGCATTTATTAAGCACCTGCTACATGCTAGGCCATATGCCAAGCTCTAGGGCAGGGGTGGGGAACCCTGGGCCTCGAGGCCATATGGGGCCCTCTAGGTCCTCCAGTGCAGCCCGTTGACTGAAGAATCCAAACTTGGATGCTGCAGGTTCCCCACCTCTGCTCTGGGGATACAAAGAAAGGCAAAAACCAGGAGTGCTAGGGACAGTTATGAAGGTAAGAAAGCAATGTGGGCTTGTTATTAGGGTTGGCCTCTTGGACATCAGAGGACATAGACTGACCTTACAGGGTGGATGGCAATTGGATAGTTAGAGATGCAGGGGAAGGCATTTCAAATGGGAAGAACAGAACTCTTTTCTGAGCCTCATTTCTGTCTCAGTCCTAACCTATATATTTGAGGGAGGGGCACAAGGAATGAATTAAAAGGATTTGTTTTGAGTGCCGCTCAGTTAAAAAAAAAAAAAGCTAACACTGTTTCCAGCTCCAAGGTTGGTGGTTCCTCCTTTGGGGACCTAGATAAGGGATTGGACTCAATCTTTTAAGGTTCTTTCTAGCTCTAAATTCAATGAGGCCACAGAGGTGGTTCAATCCCTCTCACTCCTCCTAGAGTGCTTCAGCCCTCTGTCCCTGGGGGACAGAAAGAGGAATCAGGGCTGGAGTAATGGTCCCCTTTTTCAGTTCACACCATCATCAAACTTTGGACAAGAGTAGTAGAGCACCGAATTAGAGTCAGAAAACATGGCTTCAAGTTCTGGCTAACCTCTCCAAGCCTCAGTTTCCTCAGCACTACCTGTGCTGACTATCTCACAGGGTGGTCGTGAATCTTAAATAGGATAATGTATAAAGTGGGATCTAAATGTCTGTTATCTCCACCTTGGGAGTGAGACAAAGAAGGTGGGAGCTAGTGTTGCTGGTTATGGTTCTCTGGCATTGTCTCTCTGCAGTTCACAAAATGACCAGGCTTTGGACAGATCAGTTAGCTATGAAGGGAAGGGGAGTTGCCGCTGTGGTCAGTGTTTCAAGGAATCACAGAATTGTGGGATCAGAAGGGACCTTAGCAGCCAACCAGTCCAGCCCCTATCCACAAAGGAATCCCCATTTACAACATACTGAAGTAGTGACCCTGCTTCTGCTTTCTCTATATCAATCTCTGCAGTTCACACAATTCTCATACTTTGGGCAGGGAGAGTGAGGTATAGGAGAGAGTTAACATCAGGCTAATAGGTCTAATATTGTTTCTCTGCATTTCAGGCCATCACTACCCTGAGGGTGAGGCAGAGAGAGGGAGATAGTGCTGAAGAAAAGGTCCTCTGCTTCTATCTCAGCATCATCACTAGGCTTGCAAAGGATTAGGGCAAAGAGCAGTGGGTGCTTTGGTGCAATGTTCCTAGGCATTGTCTCTCCCCAGTTCACACCAGGCTTGGGGCAGGAGGATTATGGTGTACAGAAGTTAGTGCTGGAGAGGTCTATCTTGTATTGCCCCTCCGTGGTTCACACCAGGACTGGGGCAGGAGTACAGCGTAGAGGGGAAGAGTTAGTGCTAAGATAAAGCCTCTCTTGTATGGCTTTTCTCCAGTTCACACTAGGTTTGGAGCAGGAGGGAGTACAAAGAAGAGTTAGTGCTGGGATAATGGCTCTCCTGTGTTGTCTCTCTCCAGTTCACACCATCACCAGGAAGCCTATGTCCTGGCATGATAATATGGAGGAACCTGCAGATGGTAAGGATTCCCTCTTTGCTCAAACTGATGAACTAGGTGGGGACATTTCACCCCGTAGACAGGTAAGCTTGGCTCTGCCCTTCAGTGGTCCCTGGGGCTGTGGGCTAGAAACGGCAAGTTGACAAGCATACAGGTAGTAGTATTCAGAGGTGTTCAGCCCAGACTCCAGTATGGCTCGGGTCCAGATTATAGCCAGATCATCCAAAAGCTTTTTTTTTCAGGTCGGGAGAGGGAAGGGGTTATAACATGGGGGTTACCCTGGATCCCTAAAGGCTGAGAACGCAGAACAGAGTTTGATGGGACTCTCAGTTGTGCCCAATGCTGCAGAAATAAATAATGGAGGTCATCTATCAGCATACTTGTCTGGCCCAGACCTGCAAATGAACAACAAACTGGGCCCAGAGTCAAATAGAAGACAGTGGTGTGTGGGTTACTGTCTGGTGCTTTTACTGACCATGGGCTTCGTGAGATGAAGGTCAACCTCTTTAACACCAGTCTTCCTATGTCATTTTGTGTGTCTCAGTCTTGCAAGAAATGAAATGGAGGGTCATGGGGAGTGTAAGCTGGTGACATGACAGATGAATTGCACAGAAGTGGTACTAAGAATGTCATCAGTGAGGGCAGCTAGGTGACACAGTGAATAGAGCACTGGTCCTGGAGTCAGGAGGACCTGAGTTCAAATCCAGCCTCAGACACATAACACTCACTAGCTGTGTGACCCTGGGCAAATCACTTAACCCCATTGCCTAGCCAAAAAAAAAAAAAAAAGGCAGGAACAACAGCCCTCACCCTATTCTCCAACCCACCACCCCAGTCTGGTCGTGCTCCCTTGACTCCCGACTCCTCCACATTGATCTTGGTGGAGAACAGCATGGCTGTGAAGCATTAGGAACGCTCTGTCCTGCCCCATCCACAGCCACTGGGCCCCTCTCTCAGGGGCCAATTTGTTGACAACCCCCACCCACACCCATGATGTGAGAGGTGTGGCAATTTTTAAAAGATCCACGGGCTTTGACACACCTCGAGCCCACCATGGACACACTATTGTAGGGGGCTTTCAATGCCAGGCTGAGCATTTTGTGTTTTCATCTTAGCAACAAGGTGACACGGTCACATCTATGTTTAGAAATGCCAACCGGATGGCTAAGGGGAGGATGGGTTATGGTATGAAATGGTCTCTTGCCCATCACATCTCAACAGCTCCCCAACTTGTTTCTTATCTATAGCCAAGTTCCTCAACATCATTTACTATGCCGCCCAGGGACCCAAGAAGAAATACTCGGAGCCCCAGACAGAGAGCCAGGAAGTTGGCTGGGACTCCAAGCCCTTGGTGAGTGCTCTCACTCCACATCCTGGCCAGCCAGGGGTGGCCTTTGGAGAGGGAAGGCCCCAAATCTCCACCCCACCCCCTTCACAACTGACTCCTCACTCTTCCAGGCCATAGGCCCAATGAGCTACACTGGCCCATCACCATAGAGGACTAGACAAAAGGAAACAGGCTTACTTTGTAGCCACACTTTTTGGTTAGACACAAAGGGCAATGTAAGCATCTCAAGATCAGATATCCTTTGTCCTGTCCCTCCCTGACCTCTTTTATCCCCTTATGCTGCCCATCCTTAACCAACAAATGAGGAACTGAGACATAAAGTAACCCAGGGTCCCAGAGAGAGTTGAGAACTAGAGCCAACATTCGAATCCAGGTCCAGCGCCCTGACCCCTGCAACATTGCTGAGAGTGGTGGGATTCATGAATTGGGATTCACAGAGACTTGAGACTGCCACTCCAGAGCAGCAAAGGGGCCCACACACCAAGGAAATGGGACAAGAACATTCTACCAAGAGGAAGCCCGGGGAAGGGAGAGAGGAGATGCAAGAGGCAGAGGGGAAGCCGGGTCTGGGCCAGTCTAGGGCTACACCCAATCAAACTCAAGCCATAATGCTCCTGACAGTCATTTATTTACACAGCCCTTGGAAAGGGGCTGGCATTGACCCCACAGGGGCTAGGAATGATGGGGTGATTAGGGATCCCTCACGGCCATGTGTGTCCTCCTCTCTCTAGGTCCCCAGTGAGCGCATGGACACCAGGATCAATTTTTTCCGCAGCTACAAGGACATCACAAAGTACATGGCGGAGTTCTGGCGCATAAAGGCCAACCAGAGCTCAGACTAGTGGGGCCAGGGACACTTGGCTTCCTGGTCCTTGGGCCACGCCCCAGTTCTCTGAAGCTGTCCACACCCATTTTAGGCCCCACCCCACCCCCAGGCCCCCCCCCCTCAGAAAGCAAAGGCAGCCAAGGGATGGCCTGGGTCCTCTCTTTGTGCCTGGTCCGCCGTATAAAAGGTGGCACTTAGCGTGCACGGTTCTTCATTTTCTCTCTTGCCCTTTTTCCAGGTCTCTTCTGAAAAAATAAAGACAAAAAGAGACTCCCAGTCTCAGATGTGTCCTACTTCTCTTCCCTCCCTCCCGCCACAGGCTCAGGCCTTTGAACGCACTCACATTGGACAGCTTCTTGCCCATCTTGTGGGGACCCTTCCCATGGGCGGTCCGGGCGCGAAAGCCAGACACATCATCGTAGCTCTCCCGGGTGTTCTGCTTGGATCCTTTCTTCCTTCCACCAAAACCAAACTTCTGGTTTTTGTACCGCCGCTTAGCACTGGGCCTGAAATCAAACATGGTCTCCCCTCAAGGTCTCTCCCCACCAGGCTCCAAAGCCCTCCCCAGACCCACCCTCCAAGACAAGGTTGCTACAGTCCCACCCTGTGAGCCCCAACCTGGGATCTCCAGGACCAAAGAGAAAATTCTGTTTGGCTTTTAAAGACCTTCCTGACCAGCCCCTTCCTTTCCTCCCAGAGTAAGCCTCCTCCATGCACTCTCCAATCAGTGACAGCCTCCTCCCATTTCCACACCTTTGCACTGGCTGTACACCATGACGTTAACTCAGAAACCCCACCTTCTGTGAAAGATCTTTCTCAGCCACAAAGCCCATCCCACCTCATGCTCTCCACGCCTTTTCTCTGAGATCACCTCTCACTAACTCCATATACATATCCTTCACTGATCATATGTTGTCTTTCCTAGCACAGTTTGGGCTCTGAGGGCAAGGAGGGCATGGCACACAGTAAGTGCTAAATAAACGCTTGCTGATTAGCAGACCAGCCAACCCAAGGCTTCTGCCCTGGCGGTCCAGCTGGCACAGTGGATCTCTGGGCCTGGGCCCAGAGTCAGGAAAACCTGGATTCCAATCTAGCCTCAGATCTGAACTTACTTCCTAGCTGTGTGTGACTCCGGGGCAGGTCACCTGAAGCCTAGGCTCTTCCACTGCACAAGGGGCTTCAGCACCTTGTCTCACTCGCCTCCACAGTTATGAGGGTCAAATGAGTTAAGGTGTGTAAAAGGCTCAGCCCAGTGCCTGGTCCACAGCAGGTGCCCCCTCAGCATTCCCCCCTCCCTCCAGTCTCTTCAACAGCTCACCCCTTCTTCATCTGTTGGGCTTTGGCACCTTCCTTCTCGCCTCGCGAGAGCGACCTTCCGTCTCCCTCAAGGAAGTCCAGTTTGTCAGAGAAGCCTGGGTGTACAGAGTGAGCTGGTCAGCAGGGCTGCGCACCAGGAGAAGCAGCCCATGCCCCCCCCCATGGCCTGCCCCCACCTTTCTGGTACTTCTTGATGGCTGTCATCATCTGAGACTTCTCCCGCTGCCTCTTCTGAAGAACCTCTGTCTGTACCTACAAAAGACATGGCCCAGACTAGTCCAGAAACTCCCACTGTACTGATTAACTCGACACTGGCCCCAGGATCCAGCCTCCCCACACGCATGGAAACCCCAAGGCTGGGCCTCAAGTTCAAGCCCTCACTTTCTTTTGACCTGATTGAGCTGAAGGCAGCTCTTCAGTCACACCAATACTGCCCATCACCCTCTTTCCCAGGGGCTGGGAGTTCATCCATAGATAGAGAAAACACCTCCCTCCTCTCCAACAACATCAGCAAATAGCAGTGGGGGGAAGGCGGCTCCAGGGCCCAGGTCCTGCTCCCATTAACAGACTGGATTCGACAGCTGACCAGGCACTGAGGCCTCAACTCCCCTGGTGTCTTGCCCCAGAGAGTTAAGCACCAAAGCCAGGCCCTGACCAGCCCCACCCGCTTTCTGCCTCTCACCTTCTTGCCATATTTCCTGAGTGCTCGAAGCTGCTTGGCCTTTTCAGACTTCTCCATGGCGGCCTGTTTCGTTTGTAGCTTCTGTCGAATCTAGAGGGGGCCAACGGAGGAAGCCCTGAGGCCAATGGTGCCGTGACTCTGCCATGGCGTCCCCCAGTGCCCGGCATGAGGGCAGACTTCCGCTCATTAGCATCAACAAGAATTTGGTAAGCACCTGCTCTTTACTAGGCCCTAGGCCCTGGGAATACAGAGCAAGGCAAAAATCAGTCACTGCCCTCAAGGAGCAGCCAGTCTGAATCGCAGAGACAACATGCCAACAATTATGTACCAACAAGACAGACGCAGTCGAAGATGGCAGCTTGAGAAGGAAGGCAAAAGGGGGAGGCCCACACTAGAAAGCCCACGCTTCCCAAGTTCTGAAAGAAGCCAAGAGACATGCAAGCAGGGATGGCAGTCAACCTGCAGCACTCTAAGATGGTGAGAGCTGGTGCCAAGGAAGAGACTCACTACCAGTGTGCTTTCGAAATAAGCCATCCATCACACCCTGCTCCTTCCTCCCAGTGGGGAAAGGCTGCCAGCCTCTGCTGGCTCCTCCAGAGCCAGACCAGGGGCTTTACGATCCCCCTCCTGGAAGCTCCCAAGCACCAGGTTCCAGGCACTTGACAGCAGAGGATAGCCAGCATTATACAGCACTTTCAAGTTTGCAAAGTGCTTTGCAAATATTCTCTCTTTATCTGCACACCTTGGGAGGCAGGTGCTACCACTATCCCCATTTTAGAGGAAGAAGTGAAGGCAGACAGCAGTACAGTGACCTGCCCAGGGATCACGCAGCACAAAGCATCTTCCTGACTTCAAGGTCAGCACTTTATATCTCTGCACCACCACGCTGCCTCTGCGCCCACGTCTATGGCCCAGGAGGCAGTGAGTGCCCCAAACTAAAGCTGAAGGGGGAAGCCTATTCCTGGGGTCACAGATGGAAAGCAGGAAGGGCCCTCAGGCCATCTCAGACCTCCACCCTCTGCAGTCTGTGGCACTGCCCCGAGTTTTTTACTCTACTTTGAGACAGGACCAAGGAGGCATCACTGAGCCTCGGTGGGAGGGGATGTTGGCCTGGGACACTGCCCTGGGTAAACACATCAGATTCAAAATGAACTGCCTGGTAGAGGTGGGGATATCTGGGCAAAGCTCAAGGGAGGCAGAAATAGAAGGCAGGGACCATCTCATCTTGTCTACCAGAGCAAATGGAAGGTAAGTTCTATACAAAGACCCCAGGTATGGCTGGAGTCCAGACCTGGAACTGCTGTATGCACCTAAACAGCTGCCTCAGAAGGCCAACTGGCCACTCTTCTGTAGCCCAGATGGACAGTGACTGACTCAAGGCCACAAGGTGTCAGAGGCGGGACTTTTACCCACTACTCCAGGTGGATTCTCATGGCAGTGACAAAGCAATTTATTCCATTCCCATTAAAGCCTCTTTTAGCAAGCACATGCCAGGCCTGGTGCTCAGCAGAAGTAAGCCAGTCCCTGGCCTCCAGGAGACACATCCTTAGACAAATCAAAGGAGGCTATTTATGAAATCAACATTAAATGATTTCAGGGGCAGAGAGCTAAAAATTGGGAATAAAGAAAGGTCACTCCTGGGCGGTACTTGAGTTAGACACCCTGTACAAAGGCAAGGGAGCTGGAGGCAGAAAACTGAGTACAAGAAACAAGCAGGATTAAGCGTGCAAGTGCCAAGTACTGTGCTAAGCTCTGGGCAAATACACCCACAGAGTATGTAAGACTAAGTAAAACGCAATCTGTCTGGAAATGCAGGCTGGAGGCCAGATTATAAGACACTTTAAGTGCCAAAGAGTCATTTATATTGTCCCACTTGAGTATCTTTGCCAAGAAAATCCAAATGGGGGTCACAAAAGGTCAGACACAACCGAAAAGACTGAACCACAGGGGCAGCTAGGTGGCAAAGTGAATAGAGCACCGGCCCTGGATTCAGAAGGACCCGAGTTCAAATCCAGCCTCAGACATGATACTTACTGTGTGACCCTGGGCCAGTCACTTAACCCCAACTGCCTCACAAAAAAAAAGAAAAAAAAAGACTGAACCACAACAAAGGAAGCCTCCCTGCCTTCAAGGAGCTCCTGTCATACACTCATCAATTTTGGGCTGGTGACCCTTGAGATCAGCTAGTCCAGCTCTCTCATGGAATAGCTGGGAGAGCAGAGGCCCAGAAAGATAGTGGGCTCACCCACAGGACCCGGGGGCCAGTAGGGCTAGGGTTCAAACCCAGGGCCTCTCCCCTAGGTTCACCCCTCTCCACTGGGTCACACCACCTTCTGTGATCACCTGGCCCAGAAAAACAGGCTCTCCAACAGATATAATGGGACAGGTGGTCTTAGGGAGAGCTCAGAGAAGGGGAGAGGCCCCACAGGGCTGGGCAATGAAAGAGAGGCCTGCACGCTATAAAGCCAGAGAGCCTGACCTGGGACTGCCAGCGCAAATGTAACAAGTGGTGAACACAAGAAGCCAAGGGGGCTTCTGGTCCAAGAATGGACCAGGCCAAGTTTAACACAGTTTCCCTTTGACAGTTACTAAACAGCAGTACAAGCTGCTAAGAAGCAGAACAAGGAGAGATGAGGAAAGACACTACAAAAGTAGAAAACATCTTGTTAATTAGGGGGGTTGATAGTGAGATGAACCACCTCAGGAGAAGGTGGTTCCCTTTCATCCTTACTCAAACAGAGGATAATTCACCACTATAGGGGATGGGAGGGATGCCCTAAGAGGAAACTTTCTGGATCTAACAACATTGGGAATGTGTAGCCTATAAGGTCGTTTCCAAAATTGGGATTCTGCTACAATCCCATAGTAGCCATCAGTCTTTACAACCTTGACACTCTCCTTCCTATAGAAACCAGGAAATGCCCCAGTGAGCATTTACATATGGTTTCCAGCAAAGCAAAAGGAGCCAACTCCCACTTGACTCTGAACTCATGCCCATCAGAAAGAGCAAGAACCAACTTTACTGCAAACAGCTCAAAACGAAATGAGAATACAGGGACTCTGGGGCACAGGCGGAAAAAAAAGCAGCTGTGAAAGAATTCAGACAAGAGGACCCCCCCGCCCAGACTGGGGCGGACACCCACCTTCTGCATCTGCTGGTCAGACTTGGCCATCTCTGCAAAGTAGTCCTGTGGCCTCTTGGTGGGGATCTGGTGCTGGTGGAGCCGAGGCAGCACGGCCAGGACCGCAGCCTGGGCCTGGCGGTAACTGGCAGACAGACAAGGGCAGCTGCAGGAGGGCACCTTCTGCCGCCCCCTACCTAACTGACTCTAACTCTTTGGGAGGCTTCGAGGCCAGTCTGCCCCCTCCCCCCACAACTTACAAGGTCATCTCCCTTCGGAAGTCGTCCTCGGGGTCCACGGCTCCGGGCTCCACGGGCGTCTGCTGCGCGGGGAGCTCTGGCGCTGGCCCCACGGTCACGTCCAGCCGCTCCAACCACGCCAGGTCCTTCCTGAACTCGGCCAGGCACTGACCCAGCCCAGCCTAGGGAGGGCTCACAGTGAGCCTCGAGGGCCCCTGCGCTGCCACCGGCCGGCGCGCCCCCCCCCCCCCCCCCCTGCCCCCGTACACCCCTCCCCAACCTGGAGCCGCGCGAGCAGCCTCCTCGCTCTTCCCCCCGCCCCCGCACGCTCATCGCGTCATTGCGCATGCTCCCAGGCTAGAAGCGCCGCACGTGGAGCCGGAAAGCGAGCCCACTCCAAAACACTCCCCAGCCCACGCTCACCACGTCATTTTGCCTGCGTTTCGGCGCCTCGAGCTCCACGTTCAGCCCTGGTTTAAGCACGCCACGCGCGAAGGCCTCCCGCAGCTACAGGGACACAAGGGGGGCTTCGGGGTCAGGGCCGGCCAGGCCCGGGGAGGGGAGGGGGCGGGATCAGGACCAGGACCGGCCCTGGGGGAGAGGGGGGAGTGGGGCACTGACCTCGGCGTCCGAGAGCGCCTCTGAGTCCGCCTCCGAGTCCGAGCCTGACGCTAGCGCCGCCATCGCTGCTCCACTCTGGTCCACCAACCTTCCTTCCCACTGCGAGCCAAATCACGGCCCGGGCCTCGCCGCCCTCGCTTCCGGTGATGTGTTTCCGCTTCCGGCAGGAAGACCCGCCCCTTCCTGTTTACCGTTGCCCTGGGAACGCAGAGGTTTCCTAAGAGAGGCCAAGCCAAAGGAAAAGGAGAGAGCGAAAGAGAGAGAGAGAGACAAGCGGCAGAGGCCAGGTGCGGAGGGGATCCCGTGAGGTCATAGGTCAGGGCTAGGGGGTGGGGCAGGGGGAACCGGGCTCGGGGGGGTTGGGGGGCCCAGCCCGGGAGTACGGTGGGGTCACAGGTCAGGGGTTATGGTCACTCTCTCTCCCTCCGCAGCCCCTGCTCCCCCCTCCCAGCGGGCGCCATGACCACTGTGGTGGCCCAGGCCCAGCACGTCTTCGGGCTCCGAGCCCGAGTCACCAACAACCTCTGCTTCTTCGATGAGCAGATCATCATCTTTCCGTGTGGGAACTACTGCGTGAAGTACAATGTGGACCAGAAGTGGCAGAAGTTCATCCCAGGTACCCCAACGAGAGGGTAGGGAAACTGAGGCAGCCCTCCCCCCCACACACACCCCTCAGATAATGTTGAATGGCAGCTTGCATTTCTACAGAGTTTTACAAGCATTATCTCCTTATGGGAAGTAGGTCCTATGATTATCCCCATTTTACAGATTAGTAAACCCTAGCAGACAGGTTAAGTGACCTGCCAGGGTCCTATAGATAGTTAGTGTTTGAGGCAGGATTTGAACTCAGGTCTTCCCATCTCATGATGTAGCTTCTCTTCATGCTGTTTTTCTCTCAAGTCTCCAATAATTTTATGTGCCTTTTCACAGTCCTCATCTTACTATGCCTCTTTCACTCACCAGATGAAAGTTGGCACATGTTTGTAGAGTATATCCTTGTTGCCCAGCCCCTCCCATTTTGGGGGTTCTAGAGACTGGCATCTCCTCCACAGATTCTCTTCCACCCTGGTACAGACCCTCACATTTAAAGCTTTAGTTTCTGCAAGGACAGAGCCATAAAGAAGTGACCCTGCTTCACTCACCCGCCTCTCTCTGGAATTTCACACAGTCCACCTATAGCTGAAATCCCCAGCTCTGCCAGTGTAGTCCCCACGGTGCTTGAATGTGTCTTGGAGTCAGGGGAGCAGGTGGACTCCTCACAAAGGGGGTCCTCACTTGTAGAAGCTGGGACCTTGGGTTGTCCAAATTCTTGGGGTTTTGTCCTTACTTCCTTAAATCATGGGGTTTTAAACACATCAAGATTGTATGAATAAGGGAAATTGGATCAGCAAACAGAAAAAAAAGTCTACAATCCCAGTGTGCCAGGTCCTGTGCCAAGTGCTGGGTATACAAAGAAAGGCAGAAGCTCATAGTCTAAAGGGGGAGATAACATGCAAATAACTAAGTATATGCACGATATATGTAGAATAGGGTGAAGGTGATTTCACAAGGCAGTAGCAGCTAGAGGGACTAGGAAAGGCTTCTTTTCAAATGTGGGATTTGTTGTCTTGAAGGAAGCCCAGGAAGTTAGGAGGTGAAAGTGACAAGAGAGTATCCCAGGCATGGAGATCGCTAGTGCCAAGATACAGATGTCATGTGTGAGGGATAGCAGGGAGGCCAGTGTGCCTGGACTTTTAGAGTGTGTGGAGAGGAGTAAAATTCAATTCAGTTCATTAAACATTTATTAAGCATCTTTGTCATCACTGAGTCGTTTTTCAGTCGTATCTGACTCTTCGTGACCCCATCTGGGGTTTTCTTGGCAGAGATACTGGAGTAGTTTGCCATTTCCTTCTCCGGCTCATTTTATAGATGAAGAAACAGGCAGACAGGGTGAAGTGATTTGCCCAGAGTCACACAACTAGGAAGTGTCTGAGGCTGAATTTGAACTCAGGAAAAGGCATCCTTCTGACTCCAGGCCCAGCACTCTATCCACTGTGCCACAAAGCTGCCCAGTATATGAAGCACATATTAGGCTTAGTAAAGAAAACCAGCATGATTGGATCTTTAAAATGTGTGGAGAGGAGTAAAATCAAATTCAGTTCATTAAATATTTATTAAGCACCTGCTATGTGCCAGGCATTGTGCTAAGCACTGGGGATATGAAAAGAGGCAAAAGACAGTCTCTGACCTCAAGGGGCTTATAGTTTAATGAGGAAGACAGCATACAAACAAACATATTCAAAACAAGCTGTATACAGGATAAAGACTTCCTGTAGAAGGAGGAATTTCAGTTGGGACCTAAAGTGTAAAAAGCCTGTAAAGGTGGAAAGGAATCACCTGGGGAGGACATGAAAAGCCAAACAGAGGGCTTTCTGTTTGTTCTTTGAGATAATAGGGAGCCCCTGGGCTTAATCAAAGAGGACAGTGACATCGTGAGAGCTGTGCTTTGGGAAAATCCTATTGGAGCTGTGTGGAGGATGGGAGAGACATGATGTATGGAGACCAGCTTTGATGCTATCAGAGTAGTCCAGATGGGAGTGGAGAGGCCAACCTGGGGTGGGTTTGGCACCTGCCTGAACATGTAGACAGGTGAGGAGTCATGGATGGCGACATTGTGCTTCAAGCCTGGGTGACTTCAAGGATGGACAGTAATAGGAAGATAGGGGAGAGCAAAGGGTTTGGGGGAAAGAGGATAGACTCAGTTTTGGACACATTGGGTTGGGCTGTCCCAAAGGCAAGGGAAGACAGAGGACGGGGGCTGAGGAGAGAGGTGAGGGCGGAATCCTCCGGAAAGAGGGCCAGGATAGAGCCCTAAGGAGATGCCCACTGTCAGGGAGACCCAGGGATCATTTGATGCTGATGAACACCTTCCTCCCTTGGCTCCTGGAATAATGCTGTTAAACTGTCCTTTCATAAAGTCCTCCAATTTCTTCTCACCCTGACCTTCCTGTTGCCCCAAGGGCTGTTTTTCCCACTCACTCCCATACTGATACCTGATGCTGTGACCTCCCCCAGGGCCCAGAACCTCATCACCAGCTGTCTGCAGGCCTCCCTCACCACCACCACCACCAGGACCAGCCCTGCTTTGCCTGCTCCCTGGCCCCCATCAGCTCCTTGTCTCTATACATCCTTCCCCTACCTGTGCTCAGCTCTTCCCTTGTCCCTCCCTCTCCCTGCATCTGCTGCTGCACCGTCTCTGGCTTCAGTGCTTCTTTCCACCACCAGCAGCACAGGGGGTTGACTTGGGGGCTTCCAGCCAGGCCTTCCCTCTCCCTCCAATCCACCCTTCCTGATTCTAACAGTTCAATTCAGCACACATTTAATGAAATACTGCCTACATTCATGGCACCATGCCAGAATATGGGGATACGCAGATGAAATCTAAAGAGCCCCTCCTCTTTAGGGGCTCACATCTTTCTCGGGGGAACCACAAAGACACAGGTAAGAAAATGCGAAGTAACTGATAGAACAGCTCAGATGAATTTTCACTATTCACACAACTTGTTAAGTCTCTCCTCTGCTCAAAACCCTTGAAGACACTCTGCTGCCTGCCAATTACAGCTCAGCATCCTTACCACAACATTCAAGGCCTCCCGACACAATCTGCAGTTTGCCAAAATGGAAGATTCACCATATGGATTCCCTCAGCTAAAATCCCACCTTCTACAAGGAGCCTTTCCCACTTCCCCTGAAGGCTAATGTCTTCCTTCTGTTGATTGTCTCCAGATTATCCTGCCTATAGTTTGTTTGTGCTCAGTTGTATCTGAGGTTCAAATATCAGCTGTTCCTCCCACTCCCTCTTTGTATAGATGTCTGCCTGTATACCCCAATTATGTGGGGGAATTTTCCCCCCCTTCCGCCAGTGTATTCCTCTTCCCATCTCTCCCTATTCTCCTTTTAAGATCATCAAGATATAACATAGCCATTCCCAGGCCTTCAGGAGGGAATTAGACTCCCTCCGTGACCCTTGATAATGATAGGGTTAAGAGGGGACGCGTATCACATCTCCCCATTTATTCTCAGTTAATCCATTATGACTACTAATTGGATGAATGAGCGAATTAATAGAAAAGTCCACTACATTCCACATGTAGCTCCATGACCCAACTGCATTACCTCCTTGCAGGTTCAGAGAAGAGTCAGGGCATGCTTGCTCTGGCCATCAGTCCCAATCGACACTACCTGGCCATTTCAGAGACTGTGCAGGACAAAGCCACCATCACCATTTATGAGCTGTCTTCAGTTCCTTGCAGGAAGCGAAAAGTCCTCAGCAACTTTGACTTCACAGTTCAGAAATTCATTAGCTTGGCCTTCTCTCCAGATTCCAAGTATCTTGTGGCCCAGACAGGACCTCCTGAGTCCAACCTAATCTACTGGATGTGGGAGAAGCAGAAAGTGATGGCAATTATTAGAACTGATTCTCAGAACAACCCAATCTACCAGGTAATGCCTGCTCTGGCATGGGCTGTGCTCATGGCCGTGTGACTGTGCGGTGGGTGGGTGCACATGTGCGCTGTCCAGACGAGCTGGGCATCCAGGCCAGTGCTAGCAGGCTGTACAGCAGATGCGTGTGCTCCCTGGGGCTTCAGGGGAGGGAAGATGGTGCAGGTTCATGGAATTGTAGACATGCATCGAGCTGCAGGGACCTTACAGGGAGCAAGCCCCCGGAGAAGGTAGGAGGACTTGCCTAGGATTACACAGGCTAAAAGTGGCAGAGCTGGGGTCTAGACCCTGGACCTCCTTTCCCGGCACCCGTTTGTCTCGCCTTCAGTCAGAAGGCTCCTCTGAGGCTTTGCACACATCATTGCAGTTGGTCCTTACAATGACCCTGTGAGGCAGTGCTCTCCCCATGAGACGCACGAGTAAAACAATGTTCTGAGAGGTTCTCAGATTTCGCAGGGTCCTGTGGAAGACTCAGGGGTGCAGAGGTCAGGATTCAAACTCTGGTCTTGTTCCACCTCTAGCCCTCCGTCCACCACAGCCTGCTGCCTTTTAAAACCAAGAATGATGTGAGGATGTTGGTGAGCATGTGAGGCCAAGGAAGAGCTGGTTAGCTATCCTTGGCCTACCAGCAGGGAC